TATATACTGTATATGCAAACTGATTTGTAGCATACTTAACATGCTTGATAAGAAAATGTCTCCCCGTTACTCTTTAGTAATATATAAATCATTCCTTCTGTTAAGTGGCTCTTGCTGCGACAATACATTTGTTAATCTATGCAAAGCAGTTATACATTTGCTTTTTTGAGTATTTAAAGGTCGGTCCAGTTCTGAAAACACAACTTTGAAAAATTAAATTAAGCCTTCTTAATCGTAACCCAAATGTGTTCAATGTACTGGTCTAAGATTTTTAAGTATAAGTAACATTTGATGATCTATGTTTTCACAGAACCATATCAGGAGTCGATCGGGGACTATAACGTTATGAGCAACGATGAGATGCAGATAGAGGTAGATTTTTTCCTTTAAAATTTTTTTAATTTTCACTTTCAGAATTTCTTAATTTCATCACTCTTGCATCCTGCAGGGGCAATGAAATTAGGATCTGTCCTCCGTAATCTTTAGCTGGTTTCACCAGGAACATGAAGTGAAGTGGGGGAAAGCTGTTCTCTGAACTAAAGAATCCACAGAATGACCAGAAACGAGCACAATGTTTGCAAAAGAGAATTAGAGCTACCATCTTTGAAAAGGGTTACCTATAGCAGCAAAGGCATTCTGGTGTCATTTCCTCTACAGTCACTAACAACCTGAACATAATCACCAGCCCAACACTAAATAAAACAACCCATCTGAACAATGAACCTGAAAAAATCCACCCATTTCTGTCCCAAGACTACCCAGAATGCACTGCGGCTCACACAGTCTCTTGCATTCAAGTACATTTAATTTCAGTAATTCAGAACTTTCTGTTTCTGTCCAATTTCATTATGTAATGAAACCAAAACACAACTTTTATTTAGAAAATTATCAATATGAACCTAAATTTAATGTTTAACCTTCATTTCCTTTTAGAGCAACTTCAATTTCTGTGTTGATGTTTTGTAACTTACAGGTTGCAACTGAATGCAACAGAAAATTTAACATGATCCAAAAAAAGAAAGTAATGTATTAATTTTCCTGTCAGTTATTAAACAAACTCATCCTGCAGAGACTCTGACTCTCTGCTTTATTAATCAATAAATCAGATAAGAACATTTGGAAGGCCTTCCCGCAGTCTCGAGTAGCGTGTTTTGGTCCCGCCCACTCTATATGAGCATTCTCATTGGTTAATGTTCCTGTCCGTTATTAAACGTTGTGGAGCGACTCTGCCTGAGTTCAGCCTTCTCTCCTGACACTGAAGTCCCAACCAATGAGCTCCTTCTGTTCCTGCACAAAGACAACATTTTAAACAGTCTGACTGATGAGGGGTGAGTCAGTGTTTTAGCTTTTTTTATGGCTATGAAATTATGAAAAACTACACTGAAAGTATTTATTTTATAACAATTAATGTTACATTTCAAATTTTAACATGACATTTCATATGCCCTGAATTCTTAGGACTTCTTTGAAATCATTGAAGACCCTGAGTTTTACCTGGTACCTGGATTTTACTGAGTACTTATGTATATTTATTATTTCATTTATTCCAACTCTTTTGTGTATTTTAGATTATTGACTGTCAAGGAATGTGTATTATTTGCACTCGCCATGCTCAGTTTTCACTGCTCTTTGATTGTTCTGGTGAAGCCTACACCTGGTTGTTTTGGGAATCCCTTTTTTCCACGGCATTGCCTTTTCTTCAAATGTTTTACATTTATTCCCAGTTTGTGCTGGTTTCGGATTAAACTTTTGATTTTGAACTTGTTATAGACTTCTGCTTTACAATCTCTGGGTGTCGTTGCTGACTCGTCAATTTTGAATAAATAAGTTCAAGTCAAGTTTATTGTATTCGCATCACGTGTGGTACATGAGGTGGAACAAAATTGTGTACTCAAGGTCCCAGTTACACCCAAAAGTAGCAATAAAAAATAAACCAAAAACATAAATAAATAAATAAACCAAATAAGGAAAGTAGTTTTTGACAGGTCAAAATGACATGGTGGCTATGAGATGTTTGTTAACAATTAAATTCAGTTCAATTTATTTCTAAAGCTCCACATCACAACAGAATCGTCTCAGGGACTGAACAGAAACATTCATATATAAAAATAATAATTTAACAGAAACATTAATATATAAAAATAATAATTGAACAGAAACATTCATATATAAAAATAATAATTTAACAGAAACATTAATATATAAAAATAATAATTGAACAGAAACATTCATATATAAAATAATAATTGAACATTATTTATCAGAGGAGCAGCTTTGAGTTTAACTCCATCACTGAACTCTCATCTTGAACAAGCATGAAGGCGACAGTGGAAAGAAAAACTCCCTCATGAGGAAGAAACCTTTAGCAGATCCAGGATCAGGACAAGAGGACCATCTGCTTCAACCGGCTGGGTTTGGTAGGAACAGATACACAATGGCAGGTCCAGAATCACATGTTCAGATAGAAATAGTATCAAATGAAAAATATTCAATTTTAACAATCCATTTAAGGAAATGAGGTCAATTTGTCCTCTAGTAGTCTAAGTCTATAGCAGCATAACAAGCCGACCCTAACTATAGGATTTATCAAAAAGGAAAGTCTTAAACTGGACAATGTGTCAGCCTCATGGACAGAAACTGGAAGTTGGTTCCACAAGAGAGGAGCCTGAAAACTGAAAGATCTGCCTCCCATTCTGCTTTTGTAAACTCTAGGAACCACAAGTAAACCTGCAGTCTGAGAGTGAAGTGCTCTGTTAGGAAAATATGGAACAATAAGATCTGTAATATAAGATGGAGCTAGGTTGTTGAGAGCTTTGTAGGTTAGAAGTAAGATTTTGAATTCTATTCTGGATTTGACAGGGAGCCAATGGAGAGAAGCTAAAACTGGAGAGAGATGATCTCTCCCAGTAACTCCAGTTAAGACTCTGGCAGCAGCATTTTGGATCAACTGAAGACGTTTTAAAGAAGTATTTGGACACCCAGATAATAAACCATTGCAATAGTCCAGTCTAGACGTGACAAATGCATGGACCAGTTCTTCTGCATCATCTTTAGATCAGATGTTTCTAATGTTAGTGATATTACGCAGGTGGAAGAAGGAGGTTCTAGTAACGTTTTTAATGTGGGGGATAAAAGACACGTCCTGATCAAAAATAACACCAAGATTTTTAACATTAGAGCTGGATATAATCTGGAAATCACAGAGAGGTCTAGTGTTGACTAACACTTATTCTGTTAAATCATTGTTGAACTCTAATAAAAACTATCTTTGTTCCTGTTTTCCTACAGGACTGTTTGTCCCAGCAGTGTCCCCAGCCGTCCAAGATCCGTGTCCTCGTCCTGGTCCTGCATGGTGGTAACATACTGGACACTGGCTCTGGTAAAACAGTAACTTAATCCTGTAGCATTTTATGAAAAACAGTTCTATACATAAATAATTATTTTTCTAAAAAAAAAATAAAGGTTAGGTGAACCCTGTAGCTTATTTGGGAACCAGAAACTTTTTGTCTGAACAACTGTTTTATGTATTTAAATTGTGGAAATCATAAAACTTTGCAGGTGTCACTCTGTACAAGGTAACTACTGGTATTGTAAACTATAATGAAAATATAGAAATGCACTGAAAACATTAAATATTGCTGCACTCAGAACCCCTGTGAGGCATCAAAGGATTAAGCTGATAGAAATAGATTCATATTTTTTATAAAAACAAACAGGACAGCCATGTCTCCCGCCACTGAGGGATTTGAGTAATGAATGTTTTATAGCTTGGAGGTGAGTGTTTTTCTAGACTGGAATTGAACAGAGAATGTAAGTAAACCTAAATGTTTTTGGTGCAAGATATTCTGGTGGGTAGGAGTTACTCTGGATCCTGGAGGGAGACGTTCACCACCAGTGAAGCCAGTGCGTGGCCAGTGGTGGCCTTTGATTCCCTAAACAACCAGGTGTGGGCTTTGTCAGATTTATTACAAAGCTTTGGAGAACACCCAGCAGTCACAGAAGATCAATGCATTTACAAGTTGACACTTATCAATACTTTCACCTGTCTGCGGCTCGGACCCGTTCTGACTTCCTGAACAGAATAAATCTGTTTTGTAGAAACTCCAACCACCAGGCCCCAGCCCCAACCACTTTGTGCTTTCTACGGTCAGTTGTCTGTAGTGGCCGTCTTGAACTGGGTTGTATCCATTAAGTCTTAGATGTACACCCAATGAACCGTTCCTGAAAGTTTTATAAAAACTCTCCAGTGGTTTATGCCAAAAATAATAACATGATACCTTGAAAAATAAGCAAGGTACTGACTTCCATCGTGGTGTGTGGCACAAGAAATGGTCCTTTCAAAAGTTTCAAAAACAGTTTTCAAAAACAGAGTTGCCAAATTAAAATCCAACATGGCTGCAACACACACACACTTTATATATATATATATATATATATATATATATATATATATATATATATATATATATATACATATATACATATATACATATAT